AAAAAAAAAAAAAAAAAAAAAAAAAGAAGAGGGAAGATATTCAAATACTAGGAACTGCAGTTCCTGGTAAGACCTTTTAGAAAATGATGTTAGCAGCAGTAGCAACTGGAGAGTGAAATGGGCCAAGACTTGAACAGTCATGATTTAGGTAGCCAGCTTTGGGGGGTGGTTGGAGCTGAGGAAGCTTCAGGATTGTCTTAACATTTAAGAATCACAAGTTCTTGGCTTTTAAACCATGAAAGCAACCTTAATGAATGATACGTTTACATGGGTACCTGGGGAAAGATATACCTGTACACCTGTTAATAAAAAGTCCCTTAAAAAAAAAGAAAGAAAAAAGAATCACAAGTTTTTTTTTTTAAGAATCACATATATTTACATTGTGGATCCAGGATACACTTTTTATAGGAGTTAAGCTGTTTCCAGCTAGAGTGGCTTTGGAAAGTCCACTCTAAAATGAAGTCACCTGTTGTCACTGTTTTCCTCCCCAACCTTCATTCTGGGACCAAGTCCCTTCCTGTGACTACCAAAGGAGGCTGCCTTCTTTAGTTTTCCATGAGGCTTCCAGGCTGGTCCGGGCTGTAGGGATTGCTTTTCAGCTTAGGGGTAGACAGGTGCTCCAGCTCATAGTGCCCGTTGTCAAAGGCCTTGTGTTTGAGTTTCTCTTTCATGCCCTCCTTCTGGCTCCTCTTGTGCTCAATAATCTGCTGGAGCTGGTGCCCAGCATACTCTGGCTTGGTGGTCAGCGGGCCCCCAGCTGGCACAGCCACACCAAGAATATCTGACACCATGTATGGGCGCAGCCAGCCCACCAGAGGAGTGCTTCCAGGGCTGTAGTGGGTCTGCCTGTGGTAGAAGAGAAGTCCATCCACCTATAAGAAGGGAGATCAAGGATCAAAATTACTTCTGGGGCCACAGGTTTTCAGGAGAGCCTATACAAACAGGGTAGCTCTAGTGGTCCAAATCCTTTTTCTGGATCACTGGCCGAGAAAAGAGTTCTCATTTCTCACACATGCAATTTTTCTAAATGAAGAAATGGCCTATAAAACTAAATTTTAGAAAATAAAAATGTAAATAGCACTTTCCTGTTTACAGGGTGCTTGCCTACCCACTACTTCACCCTCTTACCCACCACGAGGGTATTTTCAAGATGGGGCTGGTTCAAAGTTCTGGGGGCTTCCCTAAAGACACACAGTGAGTATGAAACAGAAATTCGACTTGAACCCAGGTCTTCTCTCCCCAAATCCCATGCACTTCTACCATCCAGAAGTCTCACAGTGGGGTATGTGTTCTGCACAAGGAACAAAGCAGGGGAATTAGACATGCCCCTATGAGATGCTGGACTGCTGAGCACAGGGAAAACTGACTATCAAGAAGCCAAGCTCACCAAGCCATTGTTGGCTGCCTAACCCTCCCCCTAAATTGTTGCAAGGTATGTTCTAGGAAACTCAGTTTTCCTCAATGAAAAGACTGCCAAATTTTCTTTCCTGGCAGTCAGTGACTCATCTCTAAAAAGCATTTACTATAACTTTACTTACAGTATAAGGGCTATAAATAGTGTTCTTACCACCTTCATTTTTCTTTAAAAAAAAAAAGTCTATATTGATTCCAGAGAGAGGAAGGGAGAGAGAGATAGAAACATCAATGATGAGAGAGTCATTGATCAGTTGCCTCCTGTATGCCCCATACTGGAGATCAACCCCGAAACCCGGGCATTGGGAATTGAACCTCTATCTCCTGGATCATAGGTTGATGTTCAACCACTGAGCCATGCTGGCTGGCCACCACCTTCTTAACTGACTCCCAGTAATGAAGGCAACAGCCTTTGCCATTTTCTCATGTGGGACGCTATTATCCTTTCTGCAAAATTATATCTAGTTCAAACAAAGACTTGTGGGTAACTAGGCAGAATTTTAAAGGGTATGATGGGCAAAGGAAAGTTTGCTTGTTGAGCCTGGAGAGGATAACTGCAGGATTTAAGGATGACAAAACAGTGCCCAAGACTGAGGAGCTGCTGGAGCTGTGAGACTTTCAACACTAAGACTGGGAAAGTCCAGAAAACAAACTGGAACGAGTTGGTCACCTGCCCTATTTCACTGCTCAGCAAGCACCAACATATTCAGGGATTGTTTGCTCTTCCCAGGAAGGAAGGATTAGGAGTTCACACCCCTGTGGTCTGTTAGTCACAGAAGCCCCTTTACTTTATAACCAGCCATGGCAGTCACACAAAGGGCCTGATTCTCAAGCTTACAGCAGGAAGGGACAAAGAACGATCTAGGAATGAAAGCCTCACCCTGATCTGGGCCTCAGTTTCTCCATCTGTAAAATGGGGGAGTTAGATGAGCTGTCCTTTCTGGGCCCTCCCAGCTCTGGCATTTTGACTTATGTAGTACGGTGGAGCTGAGGCTCTGAAGGACAGTGAATACATCCCTTCCCAGCAATCAGCTTTCAGCCCTTTTCTTTTTAAAAAAATTGATTTTAGAGAGCAGGGAGGGAGGAAGGTAGGGAGAGGGGGAGAGAGACAGGAAGAGAGAGAAAAACATCGATAGGTTGCCTCTGGCACATGCCCTGAACAGGAATTGAACCCGCCACCTTTTGGTGTACAGGACGACATTCCAACCAACCAACTGAGCCACACTGGCCAGGGCTCAGCCCTTTTCTGATGCTTTAACACAGCAAAGTCAGAACATATCTTAACCAAGTTCTCCTGTGTCCTGCAATCACATCAGAACAATAAAGACAATGGTTTTGTTACCTCAAAAGGGAAATCCATAGATAGCACCTTACACAGGCTCTCTGGGGTACAAGGAAAATTCTTTAGCCCCACAAATTTAAACTAAAATATAAATTAGAAAAAAGAATTAGTACATATTACAAATAATATTGTTCCAGTAATAAAAGAAGAAAAGTTTTCAGTCTCTTCTTTCCCAACCATCTCATCTCCCCTCCACCTACCTGCTAAATTACTAGGTCGGTGATTCTCAACCTAGCTTTATACAAGAGAATCATTTGGCGAACTCTTAAAAATTACTGATGCCCAGGCCCCACCCTGAGATTCTGACTGAAATGATCTGGGAGAGGCCCAGGCATTGATTTTAACATGTAGTCAGGATTGAGAACCTGTGCTAGGTTTAGGGATTGTCTGTTATCCTCCCAGTCCTCTGACAATTGCCTCTAATGAAGGACTAGTTAAACTTCTTTCACACCAGCAAAGGATTTTTAGACTGAAGCAGTGTAACAAAGTGCTTTGACTCCCAGCTCTGCCAATCATTTCATCTCTATATGCCTCCATTCTCCCATCTGTAAAATAGGATAATAAAAGTATCTACTTCATAGGGTTGTTGTGTGGATTCAATGAGATAATACATGTAGAACACTTAGAACAGCTCCCATGTTCCCTTTTCTCAAAGCACATTTTTCCAGGACCTTATTGATAACATCACTGGAAGTACTGACCCCTTTTATTGTCCTATAACTGTTATCCAATTGCCTTTAAAAATATTGTAAGCAATCCAGTCAACCACCAATCTGCAGGGATTAACTAATAAAATGTCCTCAGAATAGCTGTCATATATTTAATCATTGAATGGATAAGAAACACACTTGGACTATCATCCTGTACTGTGGGATCTTGGGGAAGGCAGTCCCCTCTCTGAGCCTATATCTCATCTGTAAAATGAGGGAACTGACTAGATGAGGTCACTCTCAGCCCAGATATAAGAGCAGAGATTATGAAAATGTTCATGAACCATGATTATCAACATCACTGGGGGAACTTAGAAATGCAAATTCTCAGGCTTTACCTTAGACCTACTGAATCAGAAATTCTGGGGCGGAAGCCTAGGAGTCTTTTTTACCAGGCCTCCCATTGCTGCTGATGCATGCTACAATTTGTTAAACATGGTACTAGAATTCTAAATACCTTATTAATAAAAGCAGTTATTAGCATTTTACACCAACCACTATTTATTGAGAGCCTACCATAAGTACCATGCTAGGAAGACGTGCATATTTTTATCATTTGGTTCTTAGAACAGCCCTGTAAAATATGTATTAATCCTATTATTCAGATGAAGAAACTAAGGCCAAGTGATGTTTTTAACTTATCCTAGTAATTGTTAAAGCCAAAACTGGAATTCAGATCTGGATAACTGTTAAGTCTGTAATCTTCCCATTATGCTGTACTGTCTCAAAAATAATAATTTCATTCATAATGATTATATTTAATAGACCAAACTAAACCAACCCAAACCAATCCACGTAAAGAATCCTGCAACCCTAACCCCAGGTCTTACGGGATTGAGCTTGGTGTTCTCTCCCAGTCCTTCTTCCTCTGGTAACTTTGAATGCATCCAGTAGAATCGGAAATCAGTCTGTCACAGTGAAGGAAAAGAGAAAGATAAAATACAGCTCATCTCAAACTATAATAGGAACAAAAAGCCCCATTCTAAATAGACACCTGATTTATGAAGACCTAAGCCCTTCTATCATTACCCTCATTTCCCTTAAATTACTGCCATTACTGTCAGGAAGAATTTATAAAATCTTTGAAGATCTTATTACTTTTGTAATAGCCTCTTATGCTTTCATTCTTTCTTGTCAGATGCATTTGGAGGAGCTTTCAGACACCTGAGTTATTTTTATTTTTATATTTTTAAAATATATCTTTATTGATTTCAGAGAGAGTAAAGGAGAGGGAGAGAGAGAGATAGAAACATCAATGATGAGAGAGTCATTGATCGAGCCCGCAACCCGGGCATGTGCCCTGACCAGAAATCGAACCCCGATCGCCTGGATCCCAGATCCATGCTCAATCGCTGAGCCACTCCCAGCTGGGCAGACACTTGAGCTTTTAAAGGTGCTGCTTTCTGGCCTGCAGCTTTCTAGGCAGGAACCCTTCGGGCAGGGGCCTTCTTGCCTACAATAGTCACTTTTTTTTAAAAAAAAGAATAGTTTACTGATTTTTAGAGAGACAGGGAGAGAAACATTGATGAGAGAGCACAACATCAATCGGCTGCCTCCTGCACGCCCCACCAGGGATGGAGCCTGCAACCCGGGCATGTGCCCTGACTGGAAATAGAAGCAGCAACCTTTACCAGCAGCTGAGGACACCCAACCAACTGAGCAATGCCAGCCAGTGCCAGTTATCACGTTTTTATTTTATTTTCTGTGTTCACTTGGCCAAGTGACATGTCTCTGAGCCTCAGACCTCTCACGTGTAAAATGGAGATAATGGTAATACATCTCACCAGCCAGTGCCAGTGAAACTTTTGCAGAAGCTGCTGTAGCTGCACCTTTAGCAGCAGGTGCTTTTTCAGGAGCTTACAGGAGAGCTGCCTTTTTCTTTTTCTAATCCTCACCTGAGAATATTTTTCCCATTGATTTTTAGAGTGGAAGGGAGGCGGGGGAAAGACAAAGAGAAAGAGAGAGACAGTGAGACATCGATTGGCTCCCTCCCGCATGCACCCCAAAGGAAATGTAGGCCACCCAGCCAACCTCCATGAAGAGCCTGAACACCATGTTGGTGGGGTTCAGCAAGGAAGAAGACCTGAAGATTTTTTTTTAAATATATATCTTTATTGATTTCAGAGAGGAAGGGAGAGGAAGAGAGATAGAAACATCAATGATGAGAGGCATTGATATGCTGCCTCCTGCATGCCCCCGACTGGAGATCGAGCCTGCAACCAGGCATGTGCCATGACTGGGAATCGAATTGAGATCTCCTGGATCATAGGTTGATGCTCAACCACTGAGCTATGCCGGCCAGGCAGATGATTTTTTTTTTTAATCCAGTATTATTATTAATAGCAGTAGACCCAATATTTATTATGGAAGAACTACTATGTGTCCAGCTCCAAGCTAAGAACTTTACAAACATAATCTTATTAATGCTCAACCATCCTGTGAGATGTATTACCATTATCTCCATTTTACACGTGAGAGGTCTGAGGCTCAGAGACATGTCACTTGGCCAAGTGAACACAGAAAATAATAAGGGACTGCCTGGCTGGTGTGGCTTGGTGGTTGAGCATCAATCCATGAACCAGGAGGTGACGTTTCCATTCCCAGTCAGGGCACATGCCAGAGTCACGAGCTTGATCCTCAGTAGGGGGTGGGCAGGAGGCAGCCGATGGATGATTCTCTCCTTTATCACTGATGTCTCTTTCTCTCTCTCCCCCTCTCCCTTCCTCTCTCTTAAATCAATAAAAACATATTTAAAAAAAAATACAAAGGGACCAGGGCTCTACAACTCCAAATCACATTAGGTCAACCTTGTTTTATTTTAATCCTAAGGATTAGGAACTATTATATAGTTATAACTTCCCATAAACTACTTGATTCTCTGAATCACTGATATGTACCTTACTGTACTTATGTCGTTTTCTTGCCCTACTTTAGCTTTCGGAAATTAAAAAACAACAACAGTCTTTTCTTTATAAGAACATAGGTGGTTTTAGTTACCAAATTCATGTATTGTAAATGCATGTTAGAAAATATCCTTAAACAGAATTACAGGAAAATATGTTCTAGACTGAATTTATGACTACTGAATTTTAGGTTTGGCTCTGCACTGGAGCAAGGTACTTAATATCTGTGGCTCTCAAATTCCGTATCTGTAAGATTAGAAATAAAAGTACTTACCTTATAGCAATGTTGTAAGGAATTCAATGACATAATGCTCAAAATTGCCTAGCAATGCACATCATGGAGAATACTGCTAAAATGAGGAGCATGTTAAGAGTTTCAAAGTACCACCACTGAGCAGATAAAGAAACCTAGCTTTGAGGAATGACTATGAAAAGAAACAGTCTATGGTGATAACTCATGATTCTCACACTTGGCCTGCATGAGGATCACCTGCAGGTTTGTTAAAACATAAACCAACCCCATAGTTTCTAATTCAGTAGGTCTGAGAACTTGCATTTCTTTACTTTTTATTCAACTAGAGTTGAAACTCCATATTATTTTATCTTAGTTTTGGTGTAGAGCATAGTGTTTAGACATTTATATAATTTACAAAGTGATCCCCTTGATGTCTAGTACCCACCTGACACCATATGTAGTTATTACAAAATTATTGACTATATTCCCTCTGCTATACTTTCCATCCCTGTGACTATTTTGTAACGACCAATTTGTACTTCTTAATCCCTTCACGTTTTTAAGCCAGTCCCACAGCTCCCTTCAATCTGGCAACCATCACTTTGTTCTCTGTATCTGCGTCTGTTTCTGTGCTCTTTGATAACTTATATTGTTCTTTAGATTCCACATGTAAATGAAACCATATATTATTTATCTTTCCCTATCTGACTTATTTCACTTAGCATGTTACTTCCCAGGTCAATCCACGTTGTCACAAATACTAAGAATTCATTCTTTTTCATGACCAAGTAATATTGCCTAGTACATGTCTCACATCTTCTTTATCCAATACTCTACTTGGGTTGCTTGGTATCTTGGCTATTGTAAGTAGGAGTGTATATATCTTTTAGAATTAGTATTTTGGAGTTCTACCAATAAATACCCAGAGACAGAACTGCTGTATAATAAAATAGGTCCAGTTTAAATTATCTGAGTAATCTCCATGCTGTTTTCTATAGAGGCTGCATCAATTTGCAATACAACAAAAAGTTCACAAGTGTGCCTTTCTCCTCCACATCCTTATCAACACTTGTTGTTTGCTGATTTATTGATGATAGCCATTCTGACAGGCATGTGGTTATATCATTGTGGTTTTAATTAGCATTTCCCTGATGATTAATAACATTGAGCATCTTTTAGTATTTCTACTGGTCGTCCACATGCTCTCTTTCTTTTCCTTTTAATGTATCTTTACTTTGAAAGTATTACAGATGTCCCCTTTTTTCCCCCACCAATCCTCTCCATCCTGCATCACCCCCCTTCCAGGCTTTCACCACACTATTGTTATGTGTCCACGGGTTATGCATATATGCATGAAAGTTCTTAGGTTAATCTCTACCCACCTTCTCCCTCCCCTCCCCTTCTCTCTGAGAGTCCTCAGTCTGTCCCATGCTTCTATGTCTCTAGATCTATTTTATTCATTGGTTTGTTTTGCTCATTAGGGATCCACATATGAGTGAAATCATGTAATACTTGTCTTTCTCTGACTGGCTTATTTCACTTAGCACAATACTCTTCAAGTACCTCCATGCTGTCTCAAAGGATAAGATATCCTCCTTTTTTACAGCTGCATCATATTCCATGGTGAAGATGTACCACAGCTTTTTTATCCACTCATCTACTGATGGGCACTTGGGCTGTTTCCAGAGCTTAGCTATTGTAAATTGTGCTGCTATGAATATAGGGGTGCATAAATTCTTTCTAGTGTTTCGGGTTTCTTAGGATCTAGTCCTAGAAGTGGGAATACTAGGTCAAATGGCAGTTCCATTTTTAATTTTTTGAGGAAACTCCATACTGTTTTCCATAATAGCTGTATACCAGCATTCCCACCAGCAGTGTATCTGAGAAGATACTTGATATGATTTAAATCTTCTTGACTTGTAGACACCTGATTTGTGTCCTAACATGTAGTTTACATTCGAGAATGTTCCATGTGCACTTAAGAATATATATTCTGCAGCTCTGGGGTTAAAAGTTCTGTAAATGTCCATTAAGTCCATCTGATCTAGCATGATTTAGAGTTACTGTTTCCTTGTTGATTTTTTGTCTGGAAGTTCTCTCCAGTGAAGTCAGTGCAGTGTTAAAGCCCTCCATTCTGACTGTATTGCTGTTGATCTCTCCCTTAAAGTCCTCCAGAAGTGTTTGAGGTTTTTTTTTTCAGGCAATGTGAGTCTTTTGTTCTGAGGTGGGTCTCTTGTAGATAGCACATATTTGGATCAGGTTTTCTTATCCATTCAGCTACCCTATGTCTGCTTGGAGCATTTGAAGCATTTACATTGAAGGTTATTATTAATAGGTACTTATCTATTGCGATGTTAATTCTTTATGCCTATGTTCTCTCTATTTCTACTTCTTATTACAGCAGTGCCTTTACTATTTTTTCAATGCTGATTTGGAGGTAAGAAACTCACTCCCTTTAGCCTTTTTTTGTCTGGGAAGCTCTTTATTTCACCATCTATTCTGAATGATAGGCCTGCTGGATAGAGTAGTCTTGGTTTCAGATCCTTGCTTTTCATTACCTTGAATACTTCATGCCATTCCTTTCTGGCCTGTAGAGTTTCTGATGAGAAGTCAGCTGACAGCCTTATGTGAGCTCCTTGTAGGTAATAGATTACTTTTCTCTTGCTGCCTTTAAGAGTCTCTTTTTGTCTTGAATTCATAGCATTTTAATTTGTGTCTGGGTGTGGGCCTCTTTGGGTTCTTTTTGCTTGGGAGACTGTGCCTCCTGAAC